GCAGGAGTGTATGCAAATTTTTACCTTATTTATTTCAGTGAAGAGAAAAAAAGCATACTTGTGTATTTCTTGTACTTATTCATGCTTCTCCAAACCAGTATTTAATTCAGTATCGAGGTCGGAAGTGTGGCGCCCCTCAATAGATTAGGCTTCCCATTCTGGAATTCGAAATCATTGTGCTGTATATTATGCAATTGTCTTCTCAAAAGTAAATGTTTACTCTTTCAAAGTTTGAATCACTTCGCCGGAAGAGAAAATCTGTATAAAACATTGCTCCAAACTTCTTCATACGTCTGCAAACTCGTGTAATTGCTTTCTTAATTATCTTTTTTTTACAATAACTGTAATGATCATACCGACAATACTTCATTTTTCTGGATATTTTGGAAGTATAGAAGTTTGCTTTTCTTCATTGACTTCTACACGCCTTGTAGATCATGTTTCGAAAAACTAATTTATTTTGTCAATTTCTCATACAACTCCCATGAGAAATTCTGTCAAATAATAATATTGATGATTTTTCAAATCTATATTCTAGATATTATTTTAAATATGGCGCGATTTTGTTTGAACAATTTATCAATAAAACAAATAATTTTTTATTTTAAAAAGCAAAAAAGAAAAAAGAAAAAATAATCTTCCACAGCAACAGAATTTAAATGATAAATCATTCGCCTTTTTCAATAACGATTCGATACAAAAAAAAAAGAATATTCTAATTAAAAAAAAATCTGTTCTATTTTGTTCGTGTCTTTCAATTCTTCTTCTTCTTCTTCTTCGTGTTAGTTTCCAAATCTAATTTTCTTTTTCTTTCAATAATGGCTTGTTCAAAAGCCGAAGATTTAATTAATCAATTAATTGAAGCAACATTAAAATTATTAGATTTTGGTTTAAATATAATGGATGCATTACGTGTACAAAAATTATTAACAATACGCAATCAAAAAATAGGTTTAATTAGTGATGATGCTTGTTTACCGGAATGTAGTCTTCGTTTTTCACTTAATTTTGATTTAATGATGTTTAATAAATTATTACGTAATGCATGTCTTCGTGCACGTGCAACACTTAATGAATTACGTGTTTGTCGACTTCGTTATCCAAATGCTCCACTTGTACTTGAACCAAAAACAAAAGCTAAATTTAATAAATTACAAAGAAAAATACAAGATTTTGATGAAGCTGTTCGATCTGATAAAATGATAGCACGTCGTGATCTTCGAGATTTTCGTGAAATATCAATTATTTTTTCACAATTAGAACATGATTTAAAATTACTTATATGTAGTTTGGAATGTGCTAGTACAATGAAAGATACAGTTTTATTTGCTGCACCAATAACAGATGTTATGACAGTATTATCAATTGTTCTTAGTCGATTAGTAAATGATTTATTAATTAAATGATAATAAATGTTTCCTATTTTTTTTTTTTATATATGAATAGGAACAGTTAGCACAAAAAGCTGAAATAGATGAAAAAATTGCTGCAGCTGAACAACAAAAAGTTTTACAAGATCAAAATAGTACACCAATAAAAGAATCGAATTCTTCTACACGTCATCAACGACAACAATCAAATTCACCAATAACAAGAAGTCGTACGAATGATGTTTTATTTAACGGAAAAAATACAAATCGTACATCCCAACAACGTCGACGACATGATATGACAGCAATGATTGCAGCTGCTAGTCAACAAAATAAAATTTCAAATGATGATAAAAATTCTATTCAAAGTGATACACCACAAATAATTCCATCGGATAAAAGTTACAAAGAAAGGTTTGAAGATTTATTTGATCTCATGATATCATTTCATAGAATAAAGTGTAATAAAAACAAAATCTTATCATCAAGATTTGTTTTTCTTCGATAAGTGTTTTTATTGGGTCTACAACAATTGGTCGCAATACTGAAAAAGTAAAATCAACACAGAAAGTTTCTTAGTATTATGAAGTCTCATAATTTAAAGAGGTTCAGAAAATAACTAACAATCTATTCAAGAACAAAAAAAATTTAGATAAGAGCATAAATAGAAATGTTTAATGACCTTGTGTACGAGAGCATGTAGTATTTGCTTAAAAAAAGTGCCCATAATCCTGTACAATTTTTCCTTATTTTGGAGCTTCTGCTTGCGGCAGTTTTCGTCACATTGTGATAACTTAAAATTTCGAATGTTAGCCTAATCCTCGTGCGATGTAGATATATATGATTGAATAACATATAAGCAAATTGTAATTTGCCAGTAATGAAATAGGAGTCATGTTTCTGTTAAACATGCGATCAACTCCACATTGCGACTACTTATCGTCGCGCCCATATGTCGCTGCGATCAATTGTCGTTTTCGCATTTTATTTCAAAGTAAAAAAAAAATACTTGAACCTTTTCCCTATACATACACAATACTAATCTCATTGGCATTTTCCTTGTCTAACTTATAGAAAAACTTTCAATGTCTTAATTCGTAAATTTCGATGACATTTTGATTGATTCGAATCTTAATTATTTTCATATTATTTTGAAACACAAAACAGTACTATAAATTTTAATCTTGTAGAGATTTAGTTGAAAGAATTTTTTTGCTTTCATTGTAAACAAAAAATGTTGAAAATTCTCTATTGACAGATTACAGTCTACAGGTATTTTATAAAACAAAGAACATACGCTCTTGTGAATTCATTTTATATCGTCTTTCATGCGAAAAAAATCTCTCTAATTCATCCAAACTGAAAAGATTTTTACTTTTATTTCTCTTGTTACGAACAGAAGTCTTTTATTGCATGTAGACTTCAATAGCGTTACACACTAATCCTCATTTTGATGCTTTCAAACGATTAATTCAATCCGTAGTATTTGAATGATATTGCGTTTTGTTTTGTTTCGGTTTTTTGATAGCATGCAATCTTCGATTACAAGTGTTTTGTTGACATTTGTAACAGTTTCTTCACAATAATTCTCTAAAAAAAAACTCGATACATACATTAAGAAAATGTTTTTTTTTGTGCCAACAGCAATTTATTTTGCACTTCATCGGTAAATCCTCAAGTGTTATGTTTAATAATAATTAGGCATACGAAATATTCAAGACACAAAATTCGATAAAAGATTTTTTTGTTGATACAATCAAAGATTGACTTTCGTCTGAGTGACTATTACATTTTTTAATCCCATATATCGACAGTTTTTGAAGTGTATATCTAATTTGAACTCAACAATTAATTGCCTTAGAACATGTTTTTTCGTCACTTACTATATCATTCATACTTCACTGCATCACAAATAAAAAACGAAGCCTATAATAAAAAATTTGAAAACCAACAACAATTATTGTTCACGAGACTAGAAATAATTCAATATTTTACATTTGATTATTTTCTTTTCTTTTCATTTTACATAAATTTTCCAAATATACAGTATTCTATTATGAAAATTTCTATTTTTCATAGTAATTCAATTGAAAACAATAATAATAAAAATGATTCAAATTTATTCAAACCTATTAATCGTCATTATACATCGATTAAACCAAATATTTCACGACATTTAAAAAAAGTTGTTTCACCATCAATTGAAAATATTCCAGACGATATTCCATCAAATCGTCGTAAAATAAAACAGTATCGTAATGAATTTATACAAAAATGGACTAATGATGCACGTCATATATATGCACGAAATCATATAATACACGCATCGAATATTTATTCTGATCAAATGATTGATGATGATTTAGAAAAAAATATTCGATCTAAACAACAAAAATCAACATTTCATCATCATCATCATCATCATCACCATCGTCATTCTCTTTCATCTTCATCACTTGTTAACAATAGTCATACGTCATCATCTTCATTATTGAATGAATTATATAATAAGAATAAAACAAAAATTCAATCATCAAATTCAACTAGTCATTCATCAATAATAGAAAATCAATTGAATAATAAACATAAAAATACATCATCAAATAATAGTGCTATTGCTTATTTTGAATCTCAAAAACCTCATGATAATATTGAATGTAAAATCAGTTAAATTCTTAATATAGGATTTATTCTTTTTTTTTGCTTTATGACACTTCTATTATTCGTATATAGGAAAAGAGTTATTAACGTCATTAACTATTTCTTTTTAGTCTTATTACTTTCATATTCGTTCTTTTTCTATATCTGATGTTAAAATAAGTATATTATTGTAATTGGGAGAGAAATTTATTGTATCGCTAATGTGTAGACAATCGAGAGAGAGAGAGAGAGAGAGAGAGAAGAAAAAAAATATGCATAAACGAGATATTTTATTCCGATTCAGATTGTTGTTTGACGACAGTCTATATATACGAAAAAGCGAAAGGCACACATATGTACATAGACAAATAAGCGAATGTATATGGGCACGTAGTTTTGTCTACTACTGTGGATTGTTTTAGACCAGTAACATGACCAGTATAATAGCAGGAGTGAGTGACGTGTAGGTCTTACTATTCTTGTTTTTTTCTATATTCTTCTTCTTCTTTCTTTCTTTTCATCACACCATTCATTGTCAAGTGGAAATGGATTTTCTTTTCTCTGTAATAATAATGTATGTTATGCTCTTGCGTCTTTTTCTTCTTTTTCTTGCATGCAATTTAAGTGTTCTACTCCGACTTGAAAAGATGTATGTATATTTATAATTGAAAAAGAAACGCATAATGATGTCGCAATCAAATTGAAAAAAAAAAAAGAATATAAAGGCGTACGCGTATATAATTGTTTAGTGAGTAAGCGTATATATGTGTACATATGTACATGTTTAACGAGTTTCAAATTGTTTACTCGAACGAAAAAAGAGTGGGATAGTTTCAATGAGGTTGTTGATAATGATGGCTTGGATTAACTATAGTATATTTGTCAAGTTTAAGTAAAGAAAAAAAGAATAAGAAAGGACATTCACTTTTGCCTTTATAGATCATTAATTTATTGTCTTTTTACTTTCATTTTTTTTTCTCTTATTTTTAGATGTCAAAAAAAACAATAGTTAATACAACAACTAATCTTATACTAAATATTCATGTACGTCCAAATGCAAAATTTAATGCCATACGTGAAGTAAATTCTAATAATGATATACGTATTGATATAGCAGCTGACGCACAAGATGGTAAAGCAAATCATGAACTAATTAATTATATTAAAAGTATATTAAAAATTCCTTCAACTCAACTAGAAATTATACATGGACATAAACAACGTGATAAAGTTTTACGTATAGTAACAACAACAAATGATAATCAAAACGATTTAATTGAACGCCTTCGAAACGAAATTATGTCGAAATAAAATATTTTCTTTTTTCTTTCTTAATTCTACAATCAATATATCATATTTCATAAATATGTTTTTTTGTTATTTTGCTTCTTTAGATTTTATATGTGTATAATTTTGCTTCATCAATCATGTCTGTCCTTGTACCATCGTTAACAAATAATACTAATACTAATCATCATCATAGTTCTACTTATTTTTCTAATAATACAAATCGTCGTATTAATGGAAATATATCACAAATACAACAACAAAATCGTTTAGCAACAAATACATTAAATGAACATGATCAAGATAGTGATCATGTACCATTTGGTGTTGTTAATTCAATGAAACAACGTTTACTTAATAAAGTAAATGAATCTTATGTATTAAATAATAATTCAACAATAGTACGTCATTCATTATTAAAACAATCAACACGTATAGCATCGAACGAAAATTTACTTCAAACAAAAACATCTTTATCACCATTAAAACGTACAACACGTTTATCACGTAGTCAAGATAATTTAACAAATAATAATCATAATTCAATTAATTATTTATCTGGTCAAATAATAACAACAGAACAATTTACTTCATATATACAACCAAAACAAGATGTAATTATTGTAGATACAACAACGAATATTAATCAAAATGATGATTATAACGATGACGGAAAATTACGTGCAGGACAGAAAATGTTACCACATCGGCAATCATATACGGAATTACATGTTGATGAAGCACCAAAACCTGGTATGTTATATACTAGAACAAAAAAAAAATATATATGGTTCGATACAGAATTCGAACAAGAGTTTCGTACATGTTACGAAACCTATAAAGAAATTGTACGAAACCTTAACAAGATTTTCAATTGATTTCGAGAATCGAAACCATTGTTTTCATTTTCAGTGTAGTTTCGAAAAGGACTGAATACGATTATTGATTGTGTCACTAAACATTTAAATAAGAGATATAATGAAAGAAAAAATCATATATATACTAGTGACTGAAAGTAGCCTAGCTGATTGAAATAATATTTTGCTTATAATGAGATTAGTAGAAGATTAGAAGAATTCGTTTCCATGTGATCTCCTTCTCAAATTATTACCATTTGACTAAAATTTTTTTTGTATCTCTGACGTGCAGTTTTTCCTACGGACTAGATCTTGTAGTCATTAGAATGTCTTAAATCTTTTAGTTCTTAAGAATGAATTTTTCTTCCAATATTGGATATTGTAGACAAGCGGTTTTCTGAGCTTTTGTTGTGCTGCATGATCATTTTTTTTTTAGATATCCAATATATCGAGAAGAACACATCGTTTTTTTTTGTTTGGACAGGGAACTTTTATGTCATTCTAATGACCACCATACTTAGTCTATGAGCAAAATTTTAGATCAAATTACTACCATTCGAGTTTTTCATAAACACTTACGAGGGAACTACCCCAAGTGATTCACCGCTTTTGAGCTCATACTTTGGGGATAAGTAGGAAACCCCGACACTAGAATAACCCTAAGAGGATTTGGGTCCATGCACCTGTGGGGGTGGGTTATAACCGTTTTACTCGATTTTTGCCCTAGGGCACTGGTTCACCTGCAAAACTAAATCAACGAATTTCAATCTGAAATTTTGTCCACGAAGAGAACTAATGGCCACTAGAATACCCTGAAAGTTTCAGACAAAACGAATGTATCCTTCTTAAGATATTGAATTTTCAAAAACCGACTATTTCTCGAAAAGAATTAGCAGACCCGGAATGTATTGTGGAGTCAATATCTTAAGAAGGATGCATTCGTTTTGTCTGAAACTTTCAGGGTATTCTAGTGGCCATTAGTTCTCTTCGTGGACAAAATTTCAGATCGAAATTCGTTGATTTGGTTTTGCAGGTGAACCAGTCCCCTAGGGCAAAAATCGAGTAAAATGGTTATAATTCAGCCCCACATGTGCATGGGCCCAAATCCTCTTAGGGTTATTCTAGTGTCGGGATCTGCTACTTATCCCCAAAGTATGAGCTCAAAAGCGGTGAATCACTTGGGGTAGTTCTCTCGTTAGTTAAATTTATTGCATTAAATGATGTGTAGAGCATCTATTCTAAACTAAACCAATTCTTTGGGTAATTATCAGACACCAGCATGTTACAGATTTGTCCTCATATTTATTTGTATATCGGTTGAACAGAACAACAACCATATTCGGCAGTTTACAATCATACGCAGTCGTATTTAAATGTGTGGGGATGTACAGGTGTGGATATGGGTATGTGTGGGCTGTAGATGTGGGTGTGGTCATGGGTGAGAATATTCAACTCATGAGATTTGACCGCACTTAAGCTCGCACACCCATACACACTGTGGACTGCAAAAGAAGGTCAGGAGCAATTTCCAGTTGCCTAATCCGTTTTTGAATCGTGAGCATGTGCATTATATATCTGTAATAGGCTATGGACATTCTGATAAGAGAGTGTGGATATGGTTGTGGATGTGTGGATGGAGTCATGGATGTGTGCATAATGGTGTACTTTTGGATGTGAGTGTGGATATGAGATGTTACGGTATCGATGTGTACGTGTAGGTGAGTTTGTGGGTGTGGCTGTGAATGTGGGCATGGCTGGGCGTGTTAGTATGGTTGTGGATGTGTTGTGCGGATCGTTCAGTGTGAATGAAAACAATAGGTACCAGCTCCGACACCCACACCCAAAAATATGTGCTCTTAAAACTCTATCAATAAATTTTTTAACAAGTTTTTGAAAGAAAATACATAAAAATGATTTTCAGAAGCTATAACAAATAAATGCGAAAACATCGGATTTAAATCCGAGTGTTATGTGTACTTCAAAAAGTGAACAGCTATATTCACTTTGTTTTTTATCATCTGAGACATCTAGACTATTTGCTTTCTTCACGTAGTTTTTCTGCATTTTGATACCTTTTTCGGGGGATGTTTTGTTAGAACGCTACGATTTGATTCAAAACTAATATCAGATTCGGAATCACCGTTAAAAACTAAGTCGATTTATATATGTTGTGAATAATTCGGAGAAAAAACTTTTTTTTTTAAATCCCTGTATCCCCCCCCCCCCCCGGGATCGTCTTCTCAATAATTA